GGAGGGGAGGGGGGATGCTGATGGTGCGCTTGATCTTTGCCGATCCCTTCTGTCCGGGAGGCTGCAGGTAGTGGCCGCTGGAGCTGCACCAGCTGACGGGGAAGATGTCGCTGAAACACAGGGAGAGATCCCGGGTTAACGAAGGGAAGATTTCCCTGAAACGCGGGGAGAGATCCCGGGTTAACGAAGGGGAGACGTCGCTGAAACACAAGGAGAGATCCCGGGTTAACGATGGGGAGATGTCGCTGAAACACAGGGAGAGATCCCGGGTTAACGGAGGGAAGATGTCGCTGAAACACACGGAGAGATCCCGGGTTAACGAAGGGAAGATGTCGCTGAAACACAAGGAGAGATCCTGGGTTAACAAAGGAGAGACGTCCCTGAAACACAGGGAAAGATCCCGGATTAACGAAGGGAAGACATCCCTGAAACGCGGGGAGAGATCCCGGGTTAACGAAGGGAAGATTTCCCTGAAACGCGGGGAGAGATCCCGGGTTAACAGTTAACGAAGGGAAGATGTCGCTGAAACGCAGGGAGAGATCCCGGGTTAACGAAGGGAAGATGTCGCTGAAACACAGGGAGAGATCCCGGGTTAAGGAAGGGAAGACGTCCCTGTGACCAGGAAGAGATCCGGGAGTTTACAAGGGGAAGACGTCTCTTAAACATCTACCCTTCCATTCTCCTTCTCCTCCTCCCCTCTCTCATCCCCTTTTCCTCCCTCTTAACTTTCCTTATCTCTTCCCTCTTTCCCTCCCTCCCAACCTTCCTTCCCTCTTCCCCCCTCCTCTCTTCCCTCTTTCTCTTCCTCCTACCCTCCCTTCTCTCTACCATCTTTCTCTTTCCTCCTCCTCTTCCTCCCCCTTCCTCCTCCTCCTCTTCCTCCCCCTTCCTCCTCCTCCTCTTTCTCCCCCTTCCTTCTCCTCTTCCTCCGCCTCCTCTCCCTCCCCCTCCTCCACCTCCTCCTCGCTCACCTGCAGTCGTAGTCGACCCAGTAATCGAACGCGCCCCGCCATCCGTCGAACGAGACGAGGATGCGGTTGCCGTCGACGGCCGCGATCGTTGCCGGGCAGATGAGCTGCGGATTCTTGCGATCGACCGCCTCCAGCTTGCATCCGATCTCAAACGTGTTCGTCGGCGGCATGGGCGGCTCCTGCCGCAAGATCAATACACGGAAATCAATATCGGTTGGAGATCAATGCATGGGAATCAATATCGGTGGGAGATCAATACACGGAAATCAATATCGGTTAGGCAGATCAATGCATGGGAATCAATATCGGTGGGAGATCAATGCATGGAAATCAATATCGGTGGGAGATGAATGCATGGAAATCAATATTGGTAGGAGATCAATGCATGGAAATCAATATTGATGGGAGATCAATGCAGCAGAATCAATATTGATGGAAGATCATTGCAGCAAAATCAAGAAATCAGTTGCCATGCATTCAGAGAAACAAAAGAACAGCTGTTAGTTACCGATCGAAAGATGCTCTCTGGCGCCATCTCTGCTCCGTTCAGCGTCTTACAAAGGAACATCGGCCAGGCTGAGGCATTCATCCGGAACCCTGCAACGAACAACACATGGTTGTGAACACTTCATCCTTTAGAACATACAGCTACGAACAACATGGTTCGTTGAACATATGTCAACCTACTGAACGAACTCGATTGAACAACACGACGACACTCTACTCTCGCTGCACAACTACTTCCACATGTTCCAGTTTAGCAAAACAAATGTTCCACTCCTGCTAGGCAAACATACAGCAACGAACAACGCAAACATACAGCAACGAACAATACAAACATACTGCAACAAACAACGTGAACATACAGCAACGAACAACAAACATACAGCAACAAACAACGCGAACATACTGCAACGAACAACACAAACATACAGCAATGAACAACGCGAACATACAGCAACGAACAACGCAAACATACAGCAACGAACAACGCAAACATACAGCAACGAACAACGTGAACATCCTGCGCTCGCCGCCGCCGCCGCTCGCTCACCTAGAGGGGGCTGCAGCATGCCGCCGTTCCTCTCGCACGAGCCGATTGGATGGATGTCGCGCGAGTCGACCAATCGGTAGAAGTCGTTCTGATTGTCACTGCCATCCAATCGCAGCCGCAGCCGCGGCCCGTGCAGCCCGACGACGGTTGCTATGCACGTCGACGTCAGACTCCGCGGATCCTGCGCCTCCAGCTTCATTCCGATCTGGAACTCGTTCAGCGGCGGTTCCGGGCTCTGGCGGGGAGGGAGCGGAAAACGAGCGAGGGTTCGTGAGAGAAAGCCCGGAGAGAAATACGCGCGTGAAAATCGGAAAATATCATTACCTATATAAATCTCTCATTGTTTCATTCACAAATGTTCCATCTAACAGGAAATTCAATGGATTTCAGGGGTAGAAATGAACTTTTGAACACGGGAGTCCAACGAACTCCCTACCCTCAAAAAGAGGGAGTCCGCAGCAAAATGAGGGAGTCCGCAGTCTGGATTTTATTCACCCTGCTAGTGCTATATCATTACCCTACATTTAATGCGATCGAATTGGACTCGTATCATTATATATTAAACTGCGAGCTCAGCTACGATGATGACAGCTATAATAGGCGGAGATGTGGGCGTCCCTTGGCGAGAAATCGCTGTTGATACGAGCGGCGCACGAGGCTTAGCTGCACGCGCGCGAAAAATCTTAGTTTGCTTGATTGCCATAAGCTGGGCTAATAGCTAGCCATAGGGTTGTGACTTAGCTTGGGTAGAGCCAGGTAGTATTCAGTTTTTTTTGAGGAACCGAAAGGCTACTGAGGGTGGTCAACAGCGCAGGCGGCGGACACACCACGTGGCAGAGTTTTTTCGCCTTCAGTGGTTCTTTAGTCCAAATTGGCGGCTAGGTATTACTACTGGAGACGGGACCGCATTTAACGATGTCATCCGAAGCGCAAGGGAAGATTCACAGTCATCCAATGTTGAGTGGCAGGTTTTACACACTTGAGAAAATTCACTGCGCCGCCGGGTTTAAACTGCACAGCATTCAGTGAAACAGTGTACGAGCCATAAAACCAATGCCACGGAGGCTCACTCTAATGACGGATTATATGGTCCTAATTCGATCCATTATCGAA